TCTTTCTTTTTTTCTTCTTTTCTACAGATTCTCCAAATTTGTGGAGCGATTTTTCCAATCCCTTTGGATTAATTCGTGCGCGAATCTTTATTCTTACTTAATTCGATATCCTCTCGTGTACACCTTCATCTCTCGAATTCGAAATAATCACGAGATACCTCTCGTAATATATTCTTACAAATTCTTTTTCTTATCCCCCTCTTGCACGTAATCTTATTACAGAATTCTCGGTTCCTTCGATCTCGGATCCGAAAGATTCGAAAAATCAACGATCTCTTGATCGAGGAAAATATTCGGGAGCAAAAAAGGAAGAGGAGAGAAAGAGAGAGAGAGAGAGAGAGAGAGAGAGAGAGAGAGAGAGAGAGAGAGAGAGGATGCGCTTTTGTCGAAGCACTCGAGAAGGAGGAGAATTCGGGGTGGAAGGACGACGGATGCCTGCGCGGATTAAACGCGGAGATCAAGTATTCTTGATAAAGGCAGAGGGTCAAGTGGCGCGGAGAACGACTAAATCGAGGGAAAATTCGCGACACCCTCCTTCCCTTCCTCCCTTCCTCCCTCCTCCTTCTTTATTTCCCGGAGAAAGAGCAAGAAAATCCTTGTTTCTTGATCTCGATCGTAAATCTCATTATTAATTCGATTTAAAATGGATTTGGTTGCGTCCCGAAAAATTCTTTATACGATTAATTGAAAAAGTATTCGCATATGTTACTCGAGAAAAAAAAAAACTTGAAAGTTATCGTCCATTTCATACTTGAAACATTTAACGAAAGAATTATTGGCGATTTTGATAAGATAACTTGATCGAATAATATATATATACTTTTGCATGTATTGTATGTAATTTATGCATGTTCGAATTTTAGATAGAAAAGGAAAAAATCATTTCTCACTTAAGCATCTATTGTTTTCCTTTTAAAATAAATTCCAAAATACTTTCCTTTCAAAATACAAATCCTTGTACAAATAACAAGAAGATTGGCAAACGACCCACTACACAACCTCTTCGAGAAGCGAACCCGAAACATTTTCCACCCTCCCAAAAGAAAGAAAAGAAACCCTCAAGAGCTCCTCCCCCCTCCTCGAGCGACAAAGAGAGATCAGCGACCGAATCAGGGCAAACTTCATCGCGTTTTCCACGTGGAATTGACCAAATCCATTAACCCCCTCGGCGGTTATAAATAGGGGGGGGGCCTCCTCGAGAAATCGGTGCCACCATTCCCACGCGTCTCCAATGCCAATGTGAAAGGAAAGGAAGGAAAACGGGAGCAACAGGAGCCAGAGATGGGACGGCCGTTTTTCCCGGTGTTTGCCAACGCTTCGTGGCCCTTTTTTCCAAACGTCGAGCTGTCGTGCGTGCCCGTGTTTGCTCGTGCGCCAAACGGGGGACACGGAACGCTCCCGACCCGAGGAAACCATCTCGAAGAAGGACTCGAGACCCGAGTCGAGTGTCTCATTTCTGTTTGCCGCCACGGGATTTTCCCGACAAAGAGGCCGACCGGAGGATTACCGTCCTCCCCTCGGCCCCCTCTGTCCGCGCTAATTTCCCCGCTCCCCGCTCGCAGGGCCGGGGAAATTAGGGAGGGCACCAGTCAAGTCGACGTTTTCGGCCCGGGGACACCTGGAATTTCTGTTTTCTTGGCACTTTTCAACCGGCCTTTTGTTTCAACCACCTCTTAACCCGTTTCAAAAACGGAAATTCGCGTTAAAAAGGGTAAAGATTTTAGGGGCTTTTCGGCGTTTAATTAATTTTCTCCTCCTTCCCTCCCGTCATTTCGTTCGATCAAGTAATACAGCGTTAACAGATATTCTCTCTTCGTCTTAATTATGTTATTGCACGAATTTCCATCGAATTTGTTTCTATCAAAATGTTTTCAACTTGAGTTCCGTTATTATTATTACGATGATCTAATCCATCATAATGTTCCCACAACGCGAGGTAATATTATTTATAAACATCGAGAGAACTACTATCGATTTTCGTGCCTTGGAATAAAGAGTTATTCCAAAAATTTCCCCCCCCCCCTCCATTCGAATTCTTCTTCTACAATTTAGTAATAAAAAAAGGGGGAAAGAGATACACTCGCGGAGGGAACTTTTTCCCCGAAAAAACCGCGCAAGATAAAGATCCTCGCAGCTGACGATCGATCGGGATGAGAAAAGCGCATCTTCCGCCCCACATCCCCCAAAGAAGAACCGAGAAGAAGCGAATCTCTCTCTATGCGGAGGAGATGGCTCGAAATCTCTGGCCCGAATCCGGAAAGGGTTGTTGGGAAAGAAGAAATCTCTCTCTTCGAGGCCCCGTTTTATATTTTCTGGGCTCGTGCACAGGGATTGAGCGAGGAGAGGACGAGGCAGGTGAACCGTGGCTGAAACGATGGTTACCGTCTCCCCCGATTCAACCCCTTCTTTCGCCCTTCGAGAGCAACCAAGAAGAAGAAGAAGAAGAAGAAGAAGCAGAAGAAGAAGAAGAAGAAAGACGAAGAGAGAGAGAGAGGATGGTGGCGTACCGCACGATTGGCACGCGGTGTTCCAAGCGGCGAAGGAAAAGGGACAAGGAGAAGGACGAGACGGACGAGGAGGAAGAGAGAAAGAGAGAGAGAGAGAGAGTGGTGGTGCTGTTGGTCCGTAACAAAGGTCGGGCTGTGCGAGCGCAGCCATTGACATCGCTCTTGGGTCCCCGGGCTGGAGGACTAGATTTCACGAGCCAGCGATGCAGGATCCTTCAAAGGGCGCCGACACGGACCGCCGCAAAAAGGATTCGCAAGAAGAAAAAAAAAAGAAAGAAAAAAAAAAGGAGGGGGGGGGAGGGGAAGGAGAACGGTGCAGCAGCGTCCAGGAGGAAGGGAAGGAAGAGGGGGAGGAAGGAGGAGAGGAGGAGGAGGAGGAGGAGGAGGAGGTTGTGGCCGCTGAAAGAACCGGGCTTCTTCTCCTCTTTGCTTCGAAGCTGGCTTCCGCAGGACCCCGTTTCGTCCCCCTCCCCCTTTCTCGTCCTCTTCTCACAGGAAAGCTACGACGGGACGGGGAGGCCGTGCGACCGGGGGCCAGGGGGGTGAGGCTAATAGAGAGGAGAGGGCCGGGAGGAGGGCCCTCGCCACCGGCTGCAGCCTGCAGGCTGCTGCAACTACTTGACGCCGAAATCCATCGCGATAACTTAATCTTCTATTATGGATTCCTCGGGTTAATAGTCGTAGCTGCTTCTTATTTTCGATATAGATATATAGGGTGGTATATTAGTTCTCTTCTTTTGAGAGGATAAAGTAAAGTATGTTTCTTTATGCTCGTCTTTCTTGAGTTGTTTGAATTGTAAGATTGTTGTTGGACTTTATCGCGATTTTGTTTTGGAATAAATCGTTTAGACGAAGATGAATAATTAAACCAAGATTTGAAAATGGGGTAGATACGTATGTTCCTCGTTTGGACGAGAGTTGTTCAAAGGATAAACTAAAGCACGTATGTTTCTTCTTTCTTCTTCGTTGTTTGAATTGTAAGATTGTTGTTGGACTTTATCGCGATTTTGTTTTGGAATAAATTTAGATACGTATGTTTTTAAGTTGGTTTCTCGTTTGGGACGATAAATTAAATCTTGAAAATTCGAATATATCCGCTGGAATAAAAATAATAATCGTATGTTTCTCTGTTTCTCGTTCTTTTTTCTTCGTTGCAAGAGTTGCTTGAACTTTATCGATTTTGTTTTGGAATAAATCGTTAGACGAAGATGAATAATTAAACCAAGATTTGAAAATGGGGTAGATACGTATGTTCCTCGTTTGGACGAGGGTTGTTGGGATGATAAACTAAAGCACGTATGTTTCTTCTTTTTTCTTCGTTGTTTGAATTCTAAGATTGTTGGACTTTATCGCGATTTTGTTTTGGAATAAATTTAGACGAAGATGAATAATTAAAGATTTGAAAATGGGGTAGATACGTATGTTTCTGGATTAGTTTCTCGTTTGGGACGATAAATTAAATCTTGAGAATTCGAATATATCCGCTGGAATAAAAATAATAATCGTATGTTTCTCTGTTTCTCGTTCTTTTTTCTTCGTTGCAAGAGTTGCTTGAATCGATTTTGTTTTGGAATAAATCGTTAGACGAATAATAAGATGAATAATTAAAGATTTGAAAATGATAGATACGTATGTTTCTGGATTAGTTTATCATTTGAACGAGGGTTGTTGAAAGGATAAACTAAAGCACGTATGTTTCTCTATTTCTCGTTCTTTTTTCTTCGTTGTAAGAATTGGTTAAACTTTATCGCGATTTTGTTTTGGAATAAATTTAGAAAATGAATAATTAAAGATTTGAAAATGGGATTGATACGTTTCTGGATTAATTTCTCGTTTGAAGATTGTTGAAAGGATAAATTAAAGTATGTTTCTCATTCTTCTTTCTTCGTTGTTTGAATGGAGATTGTAAGATTTCGTTCTGGAATCGTTTAGACGACGAAGACGAATAATTAAACAAAGATTTGAAAAATGGACACCGTATATTTCTGGATTAGTTTCTCGTTTGAGATCGGAGCGATTTTGTTTTGGATTTTGTTTGGAAGGATGGAATTTTAGGGGACGAAGATATTTGGATATTAATCGCGTAGAGCGAAATTCTAAGAAGATCCAAACGAGAATTTATATAATAAATAAATAATTTCCTCTTTTGAAAATCACACGTGAGAATAATTTTCTAGTTAAAGTTTCTCCAATGAGAAATTCTTTCTTTCGAATTACAACCATCTATTATTTCTACTAAGAGAATCACGATTCACGATCCCCTTCGAGTCAAATTTCTTTCCATTTTTTATCTTTTCAAATAAATTTTGGGGAAAAATTCGCGAGACAAGCACACCAAGAAGTGGTCATCGTCGTGCACGCGGCCTAACGAGCTTTTAATCGAGCCGATCGTTAGGTCGTGAGCCGGGCAAAACGTTAGCGAATTAATTGCGAGACTCGGAGCTCCAACTTAGAGGCTAGTAAGTAAGTAATTGTTTGGTTGGCGTTACGTACAGTACTTACAAAGCCGTGCTTGTCGCTGATGTTGTTAGTGAGTTTGAGCTTGTGGAAGCTCACGACCTTCTGCATCCATTGCTCACCGCTGCTCGGCGAATCCGGGTGGATGTACATCCTCTTCGGCATTTCCGGGTCGGCCTTCCCCGCAACCATCCACCTGCTGCTCGACAAATCAACAGATTTATCGATTAATAACGAGAATTTTTCCACTTGTTGTTCTTTCTTTCTTTCTTTCTCCTTCTTTCGATTCTTATAAATTCGCGACCACGATTATCCAAACAATGAAAATTCTCACGTTATTCATAACGTAGAATATTCGAGATGATATAAATAAATATACTTCTTTTCCTCGATACGATCGATGATTCTCTTTAGGGAGACAAAACGCGATAAACACGCGTGTTGTACTTCAAGATTTCGTATTAAAGATATATAAAAAGCGTTCCTTGTGTCCGATCTCTATCGTTAAAAAAAGCGTTAAAAATTACTGTATCGATGGAGCCACTATATACAAGTTTCTTTACAACACTCGTTTAATTTGTTCGTAATTACGCGATGTGATTTTAATTCGCTTAAAATTACGCGATATAATATACGCGGAGCAAAGAGAAACACGTCCGTCCCGTACCGTGGCCGGAAAGCGACTTTGTCGAATCGATATTTCAATAACATTCGAGTGTTGACGTTTCTTATGCCGCGGTACGCATTCGTTATATTACACGTCTCGACGACCTTATATTATATATAAGCATACGATATAAGAAAAATAAAATGTCAGTGCGATAATTTTTAATAAATAACGCTTAAAGAACTGATGGTAAAAAAAATTAATAAAGTAAACGACTACGAAATACCAATTAAAAAATATATATATAAATATATACCACATAGATATTTTTAAAAAATTCAAGAATCGTATCACGCGTGTCGAAAACATTGGATCGTGACGTACAACCGAAAAAAACGTTAAATGAATTTTATTATATATATATATATATATTATCATTAAATATTATTATATATAATAAAAAAGAAAAAAAGAAAAATCAAACGATGCTACAAAAATGCTATACGACGACATAAGGCTCGAACGAAAAGGAAAAAAAGTATCGAATAAATATTTAAAGAAATTAAAAGAGAGAAAGAAAGAAAGAAAGAAAGAAAGAAACGGTAAAAATTGCTTAAATCTAAGCTCGTGGTGGAATCGGTGCAATTCTCGAGTTACAAGACGGCGGATAGGAAGCGGGCGGAAAGGTGTCGATCGTTCGAGTTTCTCGGTTGATTCCTCTAAGTACCGGCTACCGCGATTGTTGTCTTTTAAGGGAGGCGTGTCTGCCGGTCGTCGGATCCGTCGTCGCAGGTGGGTCAAAACGAGCGAGCGAAGAAGAAACTCGTTCGACGGGTTCCAAAGTGGCTGCGGTCGCCGGCGTGATGTAATCGTTCATTGTGGTCTGCCTTTCGATTGGCCGTCGACTTTTCTCCTCGCGGACCTCGCTCCTTCGTTCCCTTCGTTTCGCTCCTCCGGCCAATTGTCCCTCTACGCTCGGCCCCGCGCGTAAAACGGACGGGCGAGGCGACGCTTCCGAACCACCGCTTTCGAGAAGGAAAAGTTTCAACGATTCGAAAATATTCTCGATATTTCATTCTTAAAAAAAAAAAAAAAAAAAAAAACGAATCGAACAGGATAGAAAATTAAAATTCGAAAAATTATTTACCGTTCCATTGAACAATCGACACGCAGTCTCCAAAACAATCATTTAATAAATTATTTTTGAAAATTCGGCTCGATGGAGGAAACGGAGAGTTAATAACCGATTAAAATCGGATTCTTCGAATTAAGAGAAATCGGATGCGAGAAAAAGTTTCGTGAGAACGAGGATCGCCATTCACGCGGCGATTCTTGGAGAGCGCAGACGTTCGTGAAATCGTCGAATTTCCCCGATTTATGTTCCGTTTAACACCGTTTTGCGAAAAACCTTTGGAACGAGGGGGGATCTCTCGGCCGTGGGAACGCGCGTGTCTGCACGTTTCGACTTTCCAGGAAAAAGTTAACGGCCTGCTAATTACCCGGGTGTCTAATAGGAAACGCGATCCCATCGAGTCATCTCTTTAGGAGATTGGTAAAAAGTTTATAATAGCGACAAGTTTTCTTTCCTTCCGTTCTTTGCATCCCGCTTGCATACTCGCGAACGTAGCGTGAAATTTCTCAATTCGATCCTTCGAGACGATTCTTCGCACGAAGAGAAAAAGGAAAATTTAAATTTTCTATAAATTTGCAGATATCTTTTTAACACGGATCCGACAATATTTTTTGCTTTCCAAATATTGAATCGACTATAATTTCAATAATTTGGTCTCGTCCAATTTTTCAATGTAATAAGTTTTAAATATAAACGAGCCCGTTTGTATATATTACTTTAATTCTAAACTTTTGATTTTGCGCATTTTTATCGTACGTTCGTCATCTCGGATAAAAAAAAAAAATAACAACGAAAAAAGATTCGATTCCCCAAAGATTACAAGAAAATTATCGCGTAACAATAATTCGTTTCGATTGGAAATGTGGACACGTGGAAGAAAGTTAAGTTATAAATCGATAACGCGGGGGATAACGATCGGGCTTCGATTCGAGGCTCGTTATCCCGGGTGGCGGTGGAACGATTTTGTGGAAGGCGCCAACCGCGGAGAGAGGCGGTTTGTCCCCGCGCGATCGAGCCGGGTTTGGTACGTGATAATTTCGGGGTATAAATCTCTTTTGGTGGGGAAAGTGCCGGTTTAAATTGCACCTTGTACACTATCGGCGGGTAAACGGGTTATTTTTGGTAACTCGTCATTTCGGGGCATAAACTTCTCTCGTCGAAAGAAAATTAGACGGTATGCGCGAAACTTTCGCTTTAAAAAAAAGTAAAGGAAGAAAGGAGGGAATAATAATCCTCGAGGATTAAATTAACGAAACGAAACGTGAATAAATGGAAGAGAAAATGGACAATGTAAAATATATCTTTTCGGATAAAAAATTCTTTAAAAATCCCTCCCCCCCCATGAAACGATAAACGAAGATAGATAGATAGATAGATAAATAAACAATATAGAGGTATAAAAAACGAGAATAATTATATGGTGAAGATATCACCAAGTGAACAAGTGGCGATAATATACGTATATAGTACAAAAAATGGACAATCCTTTAAAAATGCCCCCCCCCCCATGAAACGATAAATGAAAATAAATAAATAAACAATATAGAGGTATATAAAAAGATGAAAATAATTATACAATGAAATTATCAGCAAGTGAAAATATACGTATATAGAGGTATAGTACAAAAAATGGACAATAAAAAATCGTCTAAAAATTCCCCAATGAAACGATAAATGAAAATAAATAAATAAATAAACAATATAGAGGTATATAAAAAGATGAAAATAATTATACAATGAAATTATCAGCAAGTGAAAATATACGTATATAGGTATAGCTCAAAAAATGGACAATAAAATCCTTTAAAAATCCTCCAATGAAACGATAAACGAAAATAAATAGATAAATAAATAAACGATATAAAAAACGAGAAGAATAATTATATGATGAGATTAACAGCAAGTGAGCAAATGAGAATATATAGGTATAGTACAAAAAATGGACAATCCTTTAAAAATCCCCCCATGAAACGATAAACGAAAATAGATAGATAAATAAATAAACAATATAAAGATATAAAACAAGAGGAGAATAATTATATGATGAAATTATCAGCAAGTGAAAATATATAGGTATAGTTCAAAAAATGGACAATAAAAAATCCTCTAAAAATCCCCCAATGAAACGATAAATGAAAATAGATAAATAAATAACAATATAGAAATATATAAAAAGAGGAGAATAATTATACAGTGAAATTATCAGCAAGTGAAAATATATAGTAGGATATAAAAGGTATAGTTCAAAAAATGGACAATAAAAAATCCTCTAAAAATCCCCCAATGAAACGATAAATGAAAATAGATAAATAAATAACAATATAGAAATATATAAAAAGAGGAGAATAATTATACAGTGAAATTATCAGTAAGTGAAAATATATAGGTATAGTTCAAAAAATGGACAATAAAAAATCCTCTAAAAATTCCCCAAAGAAACAATAAATGAAAATAGATAAATAAATAAACAATATAAAAGTATATAAAAAGAGGAGAATAATTATACAGTGAAATTATCAGCAAGTGAAAATATACGTATATAGGTATAGCTCAAAAAATGGACAATAAAAAATCTTTTAAAAATCCCCCAATGAAACGATAAATGAAAATAGATAAATAAATAAACAATATAAAAGTATATAAAAAGAGGAGAATAATTATACGATGAAATTATCAGCAAGTGAAAATATATAAGTATAGTTCAAAAAATGGACAATAAAAAATCCTTTAAAAATCCTCCAATGAAAAAATAGAAATAAATAGAAATGATAAAATAATGATAAAATAGAAAATAGATAGATGAATAAATAAACAATATAGAGATATAAAGAACGAGGAGAATAATTACATGGTGAGGTTATCAGCAAGTGAGCAAGTGGGAATATACGTACAGTAATCTGGCGATTGCATTAATTTCCGCGTTCGTGTACGTCACGAAAGGTTGGATGCAACAGCTTGTTCGTGATCGCGATTCGTGGAACTATTCGAATCGTTGGAATTGGTTATACGCGACGATCGCGTTCCTTAGAAGTTTAACAAGGCCCCCCCTTACCTGTTGTGGAACTTGTATCTGTAGTCATCCGCGGCGACGATGTCCAGCAGGAGGATATACTTGGCCTTCGCGTCCAATCCGGAAACTCGGAACTTCATTTGAGGGAACATCTGCCTGGAACCGGTCAACGGATACAGTTCGATTAGATTGGAGCGTTCTCGTTCAAACCTATCACACGATTAAATTGATTGATTAACAATCGTTGATCGAGACAATTTCTTTTCTTTTTTTTTTTTTATGCACAATCTTTTCGAAATCGCAAGACAAGTTTACAAAAGGTAAAATAACATATTTTATTCTTTTCGTCGTATTATTGGAGAAAATCTTTTTAAAAAAATATTCATTCACCATCTTCATCAAACACCCCTAACACGCATCGATATACTTACTAGAAGTTACGTGAGCCAACCTTAAAACTTGGAGGCATTCGCCATTTAAAATACTCTACTCTTGAGAGTATATTTTCAAATTATTAATAAAACACGTGAATTAAAAATGGATACTCTTTGTTGCTTCTCCCTGTATCGAGTCATTCTTTAAAAATCCATTGGTTGTCAATCCTTTGTTATTTTATTTATTTTTAAAAAAGTATATTTTCAAATTATTATAAAACACTTTTATAAATTAAAAGTAGATACTCTTCGTTGCTTCTTCCTATAATCATTCTATAAAAATCTATTGTCAATCCTTGGTTGTTATTTTATTTATTTTTAAAAAAGTATATTTTCAAATTATTATAAAACACTTTTATAAATTAAAAGTAGATACTATTCGTTGCTTCTCCCTGTAGTCATTCTATAAAAATTCATTGGTTGTCAATCCTTGGTTGTTATGTAATACCGAGAACGTTCTATGAATCGACGATACTTTCTAAGACGGCCACTTCTGGACTCGATCGAAGCGTCAACCGCGGATATCATACCCAATCCCGTACCTACCCCATTCGACCCATGCGCAGAACGACCCATAGGCGTTCACCACCCTTATCAAACACCCCTAACACGCATCGATATACTTACCACAAGTTACGTGAGCCAAGCTTAAAACTTGGAGGCATTTCGCCATTTCATTTAAAATACCTCTGCTCTTGAGAGTAGAGATTTAATATTCCTTCGAAATTCGATGAAATTTTTGAGAAAGGAAAAAAAAAAAAAAAAGATTCGTTCCTTACTTTCGCTTTCGCGATGAATGTAAATTTCATAAATGCGAGCAGCGGAGAAACATACAATAATCGATACGAAAGCTCTACGCTTATATTCCTCTCGTATCGCAAATGAAATTACTATAATCGAGCCTGTCTCGTCTCGCTTTTTCCCTAAACAATAATAAAGTATCGTTCAGAGCTGGAAGAGACAATAAAAAAAAAAAAAAACACGGGATTAATCAATATTCTTCATCTATTTCACTCTTCGTTCTCTGCGCGGTGATATCGTTTCCAAAGCGGTCAAACTCACCACCATTAAATTCTAGAATTAAATAAAAATGGTCACGAATCGATAAATAATTTATAACAAAAAAAAAAAAAGAAAAGTATGAATTGGACATGATCAAATTAACCTATATCATTCCTTTCCTCTTTTCAATCCTGAAAATGGTATCCAAACTTTTTAAGAGTTCGGTGCAATTCTCATAAGAATCTCGAAAGGGCGGAATAGAAACGTTCATTTACGTAATATCGTTTCCAAAGTGGTCAAACTCTCCGCCATTAAATCCTATAATTAAAGAAAGATAAATCGTTGATAACAAAAAAAGAAAAAGAAAAAGAAAACTACGAACTATGGACATCCTCAAATTAACCCTCTTAATCGTCACTTCTTTCCTCTTTTCAACCCTGAAAATGGTATTAAATTAATTCTAGAATTAAAGATAACAAAAAAAAAGAAAAAAGAAAAAGGAAACTATGAACATTTTCAAATTAACCTCTCTCGTCACCCCTTTCCTCTTTTCAATCCTGAAAATGGTATCCAAATTCTTTAAGTGTTCGGTGCAATTCTCATTGAAAATGGTATCCAAATTCTTTAAGTGTTCGGTGAAATCTCGAAAGGGCGGAATAGAAACGTTCATTTACGTAATATCGTTTCCAAAGTGATCAAACTCTCCGCCATTAAATTTTAGAATTAAATAAAGATGGTCATAAATCGTTGATAAAAAAGAAAAAAAGAAAACTATGAATTGGTCATAAATCGTTGATAAAAAAGAAAAAAAGAAAACTATGAATTGGACATTCTCAAATTAATTCTTTCTTCTTTTCAATCCTGAAAATGGTATCCAAACTCGCTTCGGCGCAATTCTTATAGGAATTTTGAGAGGAATAAAAACATTTACATAATATCGTTTCCAAAGCGGTTAAACTTTCCGCCATTAAATTTTAGAATTAAATAAAGATGGTTATAAATAGTAAATAAAAAGAAAAAAAGAAAACTATGAATTGGACATTCTCAAATTAACCCTTTCTTCTTTTGAACCCTGAAAATGGTATCCAAACTCTTTAAGAGTTCGGTGCAATTCTCATAAGAATCTCGAAAGGGCGGAATAGAAACGTTCATTTACGTAATATCGTTTCCAAAGTGGTCAAACTCTCTGCCATTAAATCCTATAATTAAAGAAACATAAATCGTTGATAACAAAAAAAAAAAGAAAACTATAAATTGGACATTCTCAAATTAATTCTTTCTTCTTTTCAACCCTGAAAATGGTATCCAAACTCGCTTCGGCGCAATTCTTATAGGAATTTCGAGAAAACGGAATAAAAACATTTACATAATATCGTTTCCAAAACGGTTAAACTCTCTGCCATTAAATCCTATAATTAAAGAAAGATAAATCGTTGATAACAAAAAAAGAAAAAGAAAAAGAAAACTACGAACTATGGACATCCTCAAATTAACCCTCTTAACTGTCACTTCTTTCCTCTTTTAAACCCTGAAAATGGTATTAAATTAATTCTAGAATTAAAGATAACAAAAAAAAGAAAAAGAAAACTATGAAATAAAACTATGAACATCTTCAAATTAACCTCTCTCGTCACTCCTTTCCTTTTTCCAATCCTGAAAATGGTATCCAAATTCTTTAAGAGTTCGGTGCAATTCTCATTAGAATCTCGAAAGGGCGGAATAGAAACATTCATTTACGTAATATCGTTTCCAAAGCGGTCAAACTCTCCGCCATTAAATTTTAGAATTAAATAAAGATGGTTATAAATCGTAAATAAAAAGAAAAAAAGAAAATTATGAATTGGACATTCTCAAATTAATCCTTTCTTCTTTTGAACCCTGAAAATGGTATCCAAACTCGCTTCGGCGCAATTCTCATCGGAATCCTGAGAGGGCGGAATAGAAACGTGCACGAGTCAATCGTGGCCGCTGTCACAAGTGGCGTGGATAAAAAGCGGCGTGGATCTCGTGGCGAGGGAGAGAGGGCACGCGGCCCAACAAGTTGAAAGAGGAGGCCGTGGTATGATCGTCTCACCCGCGGGAAGGGAAGAGGGCGCCTCAGAGACCAGGCATTTCGGCGTGTTTTCACTTTTTCGCGGATCCCCGGTCCGCGGTCGGAATGCCGCCACTTTGCGAAAATAGCGGAGGAGAGAAAGAGAGATTGAAATCGTTCCACCTTGACTCTCGAACGCGTTCTTGCCGCCTTCTGCCCACCTGACTTTCATCAAACGAAACGCAGAGGGGAGGGGGTCCCATTCGTGCGAGATGAGATGACATCGTAAACTTTGGTTTAACGATGGTTAGTCGAGGCGATTAATCGTTTTAAAAGAAACGATTGGAACGATTTTTGGATATCTCGAGGGCGAGGTTGAATTTGAATTGAAGGATGCTTCGCAAGGATGTTCCAAAAAGACAATAGGGGAAAGAGAGAGGGGGAAATTAGGCTAACGAGTGTTTTTGACAAAGACAGAAACTTAGATAGCGTGGATGGTTCTTCAAGTTAAGAGCGCTTCGCGTGGACAACGAGAAGATATACTCTTATTCCAAAGAAATGATAAAAACAAGATCTTAAAGGAGGAGAGTATGTTCTTGACGATGATAAAAAGAGAATGCAGACACTACGATCTTCGAATAATTCGAACGCTCAAATTTAAGAACTAAAGTTCGAGTCAACAATGCTTAGATATCAAAGTTATATTTCGAAGAAAATTCCTTCCATTGGTAAGATTAAAAAAAGAAAAATCAACGAGCATCGAAGCGTCAAAGTTGCTTCTTAATCGTATAAAAGAGAATTTGTCGCAACAACAAGTGTCGAGAAAAAAGTATGTGGTATCTTTGGTATACAGCGTGGAGAAAACTAAGTCTCGTCGATTAATAAAATCCAAAGAAGCCCTCGATCAATCAAAACAATTCAATTGCTTCGACGTTGATTTCGAATAATTCTTGCTCAGCCTTTATTCCCATTTCGAGGAGATCGTTTTATTATTATAGGCGAAACAATCGACGATCGTTTAGCTTTTAATTTTTCCACACAGTGAAAAGAATGAAAGAAACGAGATCTCTCTCCCCCTCTTTTCTTTAAAGCTCGAATTAAGTTCGATACGCGTCTTTCTCAAGTTTGGAACTTTCGAATCGAGCTCCGTTTGAGTAACTCTTCGCAAATCAAATTTTTCTATCGACAATCGAGTTGGATATTAAAAAAAGAAAGAGCAAGAGAGAAGAAAGTCAATACCAAAAGGTGATCGTTTACGAAGAAACCACCAGTTTAACTCTGTCCAAAATTCAATAACCAAACAAGCGAGAAAGAAAGAAAGAAAGAAAGGAGAGGACAAGATAAAATAAAAGATAGAGGTAGTGCACTCCTCTAAGGAGGGGGTAAGGAAATTAAAATTCCACCGCATCGGAGAGCTATAATCGGAACGTTCCAATTTACACTGTTCCCTCGACTCGTCGCCCCCGTTCTTTCTTCGCGGCGTGCGTGCCTCTTCCTTCCACAGCCGCGAAAAGATCGCAAAAAAGAGTAGGTTCGAGCGCACGTTCGAGAAACGCTTCGTACGCCATTATGGAAGCTGCGACTGCCTTAAGAGAAATCGCCGCGGCTCGCCCCCTTCGAATTATTGTACTTTTGTATGCTAACGGCGCGAGTATCCTTAAACGTCGTCGTTATAACGGCCGGGCCAA